CCCCAAAACCCCAAAACCCCAAAACCCCGAAGTTTTAGGAATTTTTGAGATTTTTATTAATTTTTGAACGAAGCCAAACTTGTGATTGAGGAAGGTGAGTTGAGTTTAAGGGAGATTTTGTGCTTGGAAGGGCTATTTTTTGGCTTTTGGTAACGACTTTTAGACTTTTTACATCGGTTTCTGGGGGTTTGGTTGGACATAGAACCACGCATGTCGACTCAGAGAGCACCAAAGGCTAGAAAAGAGAGGAGAGTTAAATCATTTGAAGGTTTCGTTTAAAAATTATACTTTTAGCATTTTTAAGACTGAATTTTAGTGAATTTCTAACAGAAACAAACTGGTACTTACAATTCAAAGTGTTATTTTGAGGGTTGTTTGGGGCAGGAGTAAAATTTGGGTCTAAACATTGACAAATTTCTCACTTTTTTGTGCATTTTTCAGGTATTTTTGTAGCTTTTTAGGGAACTAAAGTTTATATCTCTGTCGTATTTCAGAAGATAATTACCATATGATGTCTAGCACTAGATTCAGGGACCAACTGGTTTAAGGTAGTACTCAGGGTGCATCTTTCTTGAGATTCAACAAACCCATAATTGCTATTCTTTTGTACTCTTGCATGGGTTTTGAGGTATCAATCTTTCAGCTTTTGAGGAACTAAGGACTGTCTAAAACCATCAAAGGAGATAATTACCTCTGGTTCCTGGTCTTTTTCTTGCTCTTTGCTCTACCCTGCTTGGCGATATCTTCTAAGACAGGGGAGTTATTGATAAAAATGGGACTACTTCCTTTTGTAAAATTAAAACTAAAGATCCTGTCATTATCATTCTTTTGCTCGATGGCTTGAATATCAAAGTTCTGAGTGCCAAGGGAAGGGTTCTTGCATTTATTCTGAGGGTAAACTCTTCTAAAAATATGGCCAATTCCTACCGAAATGAGTCATATTGGCTGACTTCTCAGTCGGATTCCAGGTTGATCTAGACAATTAGAAAACCTAGGCTACCTTCCTGATGAACAATTCTTTAAGGTTCGTGGTCTTTTGCTTCATCGATTTATTTTAATCTGAGATTTTTAAACTTAAGCTACCTGTGAAGTTGCTTTAGCCTGTGGTTTACAGTCACGTTATTTGTGTCTGAGGAGTGAGCAATGAGACATACCGTACTATCCGAGCCCGTCTGGACAAACTCTGGCTCTCTGGTCATGGTGATTGAGGACCACTGAACGGGTAATTTGAAGGACATGTTTCTAGCGAATTATTTTGCCAAAAATGCAAGCATTTTTGGGTCAGGATTTCGAGGCTATGGTTAGGGATGACCATACTATTCTCATACTTTTCGGCTTAAGAGGCATAAATTTGACTGTTGTTGTATACTTTAAGTCTGATTTTAATTTCAAGGAACTATAGCTTTCTTATAACCATTTTCTCAAAAAGTGGATGGGCTAATCAATCCATGAAGTAATAGCTTACATCGGATCGAGACTAGACTCTCGAGAGTAGTCAGTTTCTTGCAAAGAGTTATTTCTGTGTCATAAGTGCTAAATTTGCTATGAGAATTATTCCTCAAAACTACATTTAATCTCAGTATAATGCTGAGTTACAGGCGGAAGCTGAGACTGGTACACCAAGCTGCTTGGAATAGTGCCCCTCGAAATAGGTGCTACAGTGACTTTACGAGTTTTGGTGCCATCACCAGGAGGCACTTGGGGGTTGTTGCCCTTTCTGTTTCTATATGGATTCATATTATATAATTTCATAACAAAGGGGTTTTGGGGTTTTGGGGTTTTGGGGTTTTGGGG